AAATACAAACCACATAGCCACCAAATAAAAATTACATAGTCACCCAATTACAAACCACATAGCCACCAAAATACAAACCATATAGCCACCAAATACAAACCATATAGCCACCAAAATACAAACCATATAGTCACCCAAATACAAACCATATAGCCACCAAATACAAATTACAAAATCACCCAAATACAAATTACATAGCCATCCAATTACATAGCCACCCAAATACAAATTACATAGCCACCAAATACAAACCATATAGCCACCAAATAAAAATTACATAGTCACCCAAATACAAACCATATAGCCACCAAATACAAACCATATAGCCACCAAATACAAACCATATAGCCACCAAATACAAACCATATAGTCACCTAATACAAACCATAAAGTCACCAAATACAAATTACATAGTCACCCAGACACAAACATGTCACCAAAACTCCCCAACCTCCCCACCCCATCCATATCGCCAACAGCCGGGCCCCGTTTCTGGTGCGCGCACGCACACACGATTCCGCGCGCTCCACTACTCCACTAGCACTGACCAGGCGCCAGCGGCAAAGATCCATACTCCCCTACTTCTTTGCCATTTCCGCCCAGCACACCCCCAATTCCGCCCGATTTGCCCGCCCCCTCACAAAAACCACAACATGCCGCCTAAAGCCGACTGGGACAAGTACGTGGCGCCACAAGACGACGAAAAAGACGACAAGGTGGTGCCGCTCAGTGAGGGCGACATCCAGGTGCTAAAAACATACGGGGCCGCGCCGTACGCCGCGCCCTTGAAACAGCTCGAAAGCGACTTGAAAAGCATCGAGGAGCGCATCAAGGAAAACATCGGCATCAAGGAGTCCGACACCGGGTTGGCGGCGCCTCACTTGTGGGACGTGATGGGCGACAAGCAGAAAATGTCGCTGGAGCAGCCGTTGCAGGTCGCGCGGTGCACAAAAATCATCGAGGCCACGGCGCCGCCGCCCACGTTGGACTTCTTGGCCAACGCGGACAACAAGCAGAAGTACGTCATCAACATCAAGCAGATCGCCAAGTTCGTGGTGGGCTTGGGCGAGCGCGTGTCGCCCACGGACATCGAGGAGGGCATGCGCGTGGGCGTGGACCGCCACAAGTACGAGATCCAGTTGCCCTTGCCGCCGCGCATCGACCCCTCCGTGACCATGATGACCGTGGAGGAGAAGCCGGACGTGACCTACGGCGACGTGGGCGGCTGCAAGGAGCAGATCGAGAAGTTGCGCGAGGTGGTGGAGCTCCCGCTCCTCTCGCCGGAGCGCTTCGTCAAGTTGGGCATCGACCCGCCCAAGGGCATCTTGCTCTACGGGCCGCCCGGCACGGGCAAGACCTTGTGTGCGCGCGCGGTGGCCAACCGCACGGACGCCACGTTCATCCGCGTCATCGGCTCCGAGTTGGTGCAGAAGTACGTGGGCGAGGGGGCGCGCATGGTGCGCGAGTTGTTCGAGATGGCCCGCACCAAGAAGGCCTGCATCATCTTCTTCGACGAGGTCGACGCCATCGGCGGCGCGCGCTTCGACGACGGGGCCGGCGGCGACAACGAGGTGCAGCGCACCATGTTGGAGTTGATCACCCAGTTGGACGGCTTCGACCCGCGGGGCAACATCAAGGTCATGTTCGCCACCAACAGGCCCAACACCTTGGACCCGGCCTTGTTGCGCCCGGGCAGAATCGACCGCAAGGTCGAGTTCTCCTTGCCCGACTTGGAGGGCCGCGCCAACATCTTCCGCATCCACGCCAAGACCATGAGTTGCGAGAAGGGCATCCGCTGGGAGTTGATTTCCAGGTTGTGTCCGAACGCCACCGGCGCGGAGTTGCGCTCCGTGTGCACGGAGGCCGGCATGTTCGCCATTCGTGCCCGCAGGAAGGTCGCCAACGAAAAGGACTTCTTACAGGCCGTCGAGAAGGTCATCAAGGGCAACATGAAGTTCAGCTCCACCTCCCAGTACATGCAATACAACTAGTCTGCGGGGGCCAGGACGCTTGCTCAGGAGGTCTCCACGGGCCGGTGCCAAGGTCAGCGCCCACGCAGACAGCACGGCAACAAACCCGTCCGCGACGCCAATGTAGAACTGCACGTACTTTACAAATAGATCGAGTCGCCTCAGGTCGTCACCCAGATACATTAGAACTATACACGCTCTCTCAGTCCCACCACGACACACACCCCATGCCTTCCGTCTGACAAGACGCGATCAAGGCGTACGGAGGCGCCTTGTTCGGAGCCTCGTCTAGCCCCAAGGCCTCCGAGCTCGACTGCGGCTTGATGTTGACAAAGATCTCCTCCTCTATGCGGAACCGGATCTTCTCGTTGATATCTATAAACAACTCGGATTCGTCGTCCGGTTTCCACACCCATGCCTTCTCCACGGGCTTGAATATGCAGCTCTCAAACAAGTAGTCCTTGGGAATGAAGATCTCCTCGAAGAACTCCATGCGCACTTTGATGCCCTCGGGCGAGCAGTCGGCGACCCAGCCACTCAAGATCTCGCCTATGAACGGCTTCCACACAACCATGCGGAACTTGACTTCCACATACGACGCTCCGTCGCCGGGCCGGAGCAAGCCGTCCTTTATTTCCAGAAGATCCCACACGGCCACGGCCAACCCCACGTTGGTGATGACCTTGTTTGAGTATTTCTGGTGCAACTCGTTTTTGAGCACGTGGTGGATTGGCATGTTGAACGACTGGGGCGGCACGCGCACCAAATCGGACATCTGTGAAAGTATGAACATGGCGGGCAGATGAACTTCTGGTTCGGTGGAACCGGCTTGTAGATCAAAATAGAACGGTCTCTTCGGGCCCAATGCCTTGGCTAGACGTGGTTCGGGTTTCCTAAATTCCTAACAAGCTTAGCCGCAAAACGCAGTCCTGTCACAAAATTCCACACTGGATAAAACGTCGAAGAATCTGGCGCTGTATTTTCCACCGGTTCTCCTCGCAAATCAGAAAATTATGAATGCTGCGGATGATTGCCTGTGTCGCGGCGATGAGACTGGCCGGTATGGCCGACTCTGCGTCTTTGGATTTTCCTAGTAAGCGCAGGCCGCGCGCGCGGCCCTATAAATATAAGGCTGGGCGCCCCAGCGGTTTTTCGCAGCCACGCCAAATTTCGGGATCGGCGCAACGTAAGTATCACAGCCGCAAAGTAGCCAGCTCTGCGTTTTGCAAGTGATTCG